CGTTTCGAACAAATTATGTTCCCGAAACTTTCGGAAATATACGACTTCTCAGGGAGGCATTTGCGAAATACCCCTTTATGTGCATATATGTGAAACGGCGGCCGGCGCGCACTCGAAACTTTCGCGGGGGATAAACGACTTGTGGAGTATTTTCATAACGATTTCCTCCCGAATCGTCCTCTCTTCGACTTCCATTTCGGAAATAGTCATTCCGGAAGTGAGAGCGCCAGGAAAAGAAAGGATGGGAGAGACGACTTACGTCCGGCAATCGAATAAAATCGTGCGCCGCTGTCGATGGAGACGGAATGCAAAAAGTTTTAAAGAGAGGAATTTCAATTTGTGTAATATCAGATATTTCGGATTCTCTGCCGTCGTCCGGCGAGAAAGAGAGAGAGAGAGAGAGAGAAAGAATGAGGTTTAATCAATTAGGGTGAACGCGAGACGCGACGGCGCGAATAGCTGCATGGACGAGGAAAAGTTCGGTATGGAAACGTGCCAATGTGTCGGCGAGAGTCTCCTCCGGGTCCTTTCGTTTTATCACGATTGCCAATCATGAGACTCGAATGGAAAATTATATGTCGAGCGAGTAAATGCGAAATATCGAGAGATGAACGCGTCTAATTTCGCCGAGATAGAACCATTTCTCTCCCGGTCTAACCCCGTTTCTCATTTCGCGGTCCAAGACGCCATTATTCAATCGACGTCGCGACGTGAAACGTCGGAGAAACGCCTCGGTCGATTTGAAAGCCGTTTTAATCGCCCACAGTTAAATGTCTCTTAAATTTTTCGCGCGACTCATTCATCCGCATTCGTTTTCACCATCGATAACTATAGACGCGCGTTTTGCATTTGACACGTGCATAGAATTCGTACTTTGACGTTTTGCAACTGTTATGTCACTCACGATCGACAAACATTGCTTTCACGTCAAATCGCGTTGGTAACGCGACAGCTGAAAACTGTTATTATTTCGAGCCTATTTTTTAAATAGCGGTTTACTCGTCCAGTTTCCATGCCCGCGGTCTCAAAAATGTTGTGGAAAATACACGAAAGTTATGAAAGCTTTCAAATATAAATACGCTGTCTATATGTATATAAACACGCAAAATAACGAAGAAAAGTTTCAATTAATATATGAACACAGGACTGGTAGATTTTCATTTTAGATCACGTATTTCGGAATATTTTAATTATATTAATTTTAGAAATTTATTAATACGCGGAGAGAATTTTCTCTTAGAATTGATAGAACATATTTGACATTGTGGTATAGATATTAGTATTTTTTCAGAAAGAAATATTTTTCTCGGCTCTCAATATTACGAATATAAATATGATCACTAAGTTCTATATATAAATTAATCTCGAAACTTACATATGGAGAAATAGGGGCGAAAAGTCGCTTTTTCCTAGAGATTAATTTATATATGGAACTTAGCGATCTCAAACCAAGAGATACAGTTCCGAATAATTAATTTTTCGTGCTTTGGCTCTGTTGGCCGATTTAAAAAAAAACATCATATTTTTATCGTGGAAAATATTAATCGGAGAAATTCTTATAAAATTCTTTTAATGTACCATATTGTTGTCCCACGACTACCATAATTTCCCGGGTAAATTCCAAGGGAAAATTCTCTCTGCGCATATAATGTGTTTACCTAATCAATTTTTTTGCGATCCGTATTAAAAAGAAGAAATCTTATGAAATCTCTGTTGTGAAAATCTGCTAAACGCGTTATTCATAATACTTAATAGAGGCGAAAATAAAGTTTACCGAGCTCTCTCGGCGGCGAAGACACGTAGACAATTTTATCTCGACGCGTAACGAGGTTCATGGCATACGCCGGGTAGTCGGCGTATATTCGTGGAAAAATCGCGCAACTTTCGTACGTCCGAGCTCTCGCAGTTTCTCGGCGCAGCTGCAGCGTCTTCCGCTGCATATGCTTCCGCACATACATACAATACACGCTCAGGTACACGTATACATACCTGCAGTAGGGCGCGAGAAGAAAAGGGGAAAAATACTTTTCGAATAAATTGTCGCGTAGGAATTCCACGGCGATGCGCCGAGCGAAACGCGGCTGTAGCGCGTAAAACGAAGATAAGAGAAGACTCTGGAAAAGAAAGAAAACGGAGGAGGACGGTCGGTCGATCGGTCGAGGATGTGTCTCGTAAAAATGCAAACTTCTCGCTTCGCCGTCGATGCCGGGGAGAGTTCTCTGGTCGTTCCGCGATCCGATGTTGTCGCTTCGCTTGCCGCTACGGCGTTCAAAAAGTTGAGCGTGGATTGTGAAAACAGAAAAGAAGGAAAGGACGGACGCTGGAGGAGAAATAGGAAAGTCGGATGACGCTACCCTACGCCGAGAGAAATTCGCGGGAAGTTCGCCCCGTGCGTCGTTGTGCGATGCGGGTGGTTCGTATGGAAGAAGAAGAAGAAGAAGAAGGAGAGAAAGTAAGAGAAAGGCGAGTGAATGGATCGCGAGGAGCGTTTTCCTGATTTTTCAAGGAGAGAAAGGAGGGACCGGAAAAGCGACGCTAGGATGGTTACCGGGAATACGATACTGTTCACGTACTCGGTGGTTCGGAAATATCGATGCTTTCAGAAATGTCATCGTCGCGAGCCAACCCTTCGCGGCTCTTTTTTCTTTCGAGCGTATCTCGAATGCGTAAACATATTTCCCTTTTCCCTCTGTTTATAGAATGTTTTATTTAAAACAATTTGTGTCGTGCGTTGCTTTAGTGAATTGCTATTCATTTTGAACTTTAATTTATCAATAATGAGAATACTTATTAAGTCAGCTCTTTTAATTTTAAAACCACAATCTCCACTTGATTCCTCTCGACCAATAGAGCCAAACGCGATGTTATTGCGACAATTATGAAAGAAAGAAAATTTGGGAAATTCCTTGGTTTTCTAAATTTTCTTTCTTTCATAATTGTCGCAATAACATCGCGTTTGGCTCTATTGGTCGAGAGGAATCAAGTGGAGATTGTGGTTTTAATTTATCATATACAGAGAGAATTTTAGCTTAGTATTTACCCCGAAAATCGTGATAATCATGGGACGAAAAATATTAAAATTAATTGATGAGAAAATTATATATATATATATCTACCATAATAAAATATAAACTTATTATGTACATATTAATATTTTTAGTGTGATAAATCAGAGAAACTCTTATAAAATTCTTCCATATTGTCCCACGATTACCTTGATTTTTCAGCTAAATTTTGCGAGAAAATTCTCTCTGTATAGAGGAATATTATATAAAGGAAATACATGTACCTATATAAGCTAACAATAAAAAGAGTTTAATAATTAAGAATATAAATATAATGTTTTTTAAATCGGCCAACAGACAAAAATTCCATATATAAATTAATCTCGAAAAAAAGCGGCTTTTCGGACCTATATATTTCGCGCCTATTTCTCCATATGTAAGTTTCGAGATTAATTTATATATGAAACTTGGCGATCTCAAACCAAGAGATACAGTTCCGAATAATTAATTTTTCGTGCTTTGGCTCTGTTGGCCGATTTAAAAAACATCATATTTATATTCTTAATATCGAGAGCCGATAAAAATATTTCTTTCTGATTTTAATAATTAAATTGAATGAATTTCTGGTTGTTGCAATAAAGTGCTCTGCATACACAGCATGAAAAATGAAAATACCCTTTTTCCCCTTCTTTCGCATCATGCCGAACGAAAGAACGAACCAAAAGAGTGTATCGCTTTGCGTGGTGCAGACGATGATTGAGTGGAGAACGCTGAATGGCCTCGGGAGGCAACAATAATCTTGGAAAGCAATTAGCAATCGAAGGGTTGGCCGACGAAAACATCAGAAATCTGTTTCGAGTTGATTACTTTCTTACGGATCGCTCTCTCTCTCTCTATCTCGATGTATCGCTCGGAGTGGTTTACCGCGTCCCCGGTTTGTTAATCGACCGAGTGCAATCGACCAAGAGAGGTAAAACGATTCATGGGGCAATTTGTTTTTGCAGTTAACCATGTCTGCGAGTCGGAGAATTTGTGAGATCATATTCCTGGCTCGAAAGATGCGATAGACATCTCGAAATCTCATTCTTCACTCAATTTTGATCGAGAATAATTTGAGGCTTAAAGGGATGCTGACCATAATTGTTTTATCGACTTTGAGTTTCCTTTTTATTGACTATACAGATTGAAAAATCCTTCTCCACAATTAAAATACTGATAATAATGAACGAGGAGCGCTGTAATTTCGTATAAAAAATAATAAAAGTTAAATAAATTACAGTTTTTTATCGCCCTCTTGCATCAGCTCGTAACAATACTTATTTAATACAAAAGTTCTGCAGTTTATTTGCGCACAAAACATGGCGCTCCCAATAGAGATGACATGAAAGAATAATACAGAAGTAATAAAAATGAGATTAAAATCCTGCATCAAAAGATTCGTACTTGAATTAATTATGTAGATATATTTGCGTGCGGAATCGATGTCGAGGCATAAAACAGCAAAAATTAGTTACAGGACAGGGCGCTCCCCATTCATTATTATCAGCACTTTCATTACGAAGAATTTTTTAATCTGTACATAAAGTAAATTCAATCCAACTTAAAGTCGGTACACCGGCAGCATCCCCTTAAGTTGTCTCTCTATACAAATTCAATTCCGCTTATTGACATCTGACAAGTGTAACTGAATTCTCAAAGTTATATCGATGTAATCAAATTATGTTGGCGCAACCGCGATGCAAGTTGTACCGATATATAATCGATACACGTTCTGTCGACATGAATCTCATTATGCCCAATTTTCGGAGAGATGGAGATAGAAAGAGAACACGGAAAGGGAGAGGCATAAAATCGCTCGAAGCCAAATGAAGATGCGCTTTTGAAGGCACTTTAGCAACTATACCCTAGCGCTCCGAGCATTTATAGTTCTCTCTCCCGCGCATCAAGTTATTTCGCCTTAGTGACGTAATGAAGAGAAAGCGGCGAACTACTAACCTGAGGTGGATAGTGATCCGGCAGGGAGCGCAGTGCTTCCCTGTACGCTGACAGGGCTCTTTGTAATCTACCCTGATCGGCGTACAGTGCGCCTAATTGAAGGAGGGCCTGCACCCTGGCCGCCTCGTGAGCCCTTTTGTCCTTGAGACCGGAGCCGTCCAAGGATGCACCGGCGCGCAAAACCGCAGCCGCTTCCGTCCCACGTCCGACTGAAATCAGCGCGGCCCCCAGGTTCACGTAAGCCTCTGCAAAAGACAAATTATGAGGATTATGAGCACCGTAATGTATTTCGAAGGAGAGAGAGAATTTTCGCGCTCAAAGAATTTTTTGTGCGCTTTAAAATGCGTAAATCATATATTGTATTACATTGAAATAATTAATTTAATTAAGTAAATAAGAAATTAATAACTAATTAATAAATTATATTATATATTTATAATTCTTTTATAGTGCTAGAAAAAATATTGAACGTTTTTTCTCCTATAAATCCTTTTGAAACCTTGTGGAATAAAAATGTTTACAATAATGTACGTTAATAATATGTATACTTGTGTGAAATATATGAGAACGAATAATTGGATGAGCGCGACGCTCGGTTAAATTATGGTGAATGATTTCATGAGCCGAAAAGATTATGTTGGAGCAAATCCTGGGCTTGGTGGAAACTTTGGATGTGGCATTTCGTTTTCTTGACACCTTTATTTCTGACTTTAATTAAAAAAGTCCTCTCTCTCTCTCTCTCGTGGAGAGAGGGATCTAACTTTTCTAGGCCCTGAATTGGAATAAGCGCTTTGTCGCTCAAGTAAAATTGCCATGATCTCTCGCAAACCGCAAAGACGATAAGGAAGATAACGTTAGTAAGGGGGAACTTTCTGAGCCTGAAATAAGGGACAGCCAAGTTTTTAAACAGATCCATTTCACCTCCACATTTAGACGTTTCTTTCCTCAAAAAGATTAAACGATAAAAATTGTTTGCAATCGGATAAATCAAATTCCATATGTTAATAAAATTGTTCGAGATAATTTTATTACATAACAAGAGAGAGAAAGAGAGCTTCTTGTCGAAAGTTGGTTTTATTATATATAATTTTTGTCGCAGATTTTCCGGAGAGACGACAATAGAAAATAGAGATGAAAAGAAACTGTATACATAAAACGCACTATAAAATAAAGATATATATAGTTTAACGAAATTGTTGGCGCAGTCGGCGCGGGGAAGCAGTAATCCGCGTCGTCGCATTTTATTTCGAGACTTCGGCAATTGCTGAAAAAGAGGAAAAGGGGCAATGAAAAATGGCGGGCCGTAAAAAGCGGACCGGTATAGGTTCGCATTTAGTCCACGCGAAAACTTATTACGCGGCACCCTCGAATACCACCTGTTACCATTTATCTCCCGAACACGCGAGCGTGTCCTTACTTCTTTCTTTGTTGCGAGAGATAAATTTCGATCTCTTTCCTCGCTGACTTTTAACGGGCACCGCGAAATGGAGATTATCCGCGCGACTCGCGATCTGTCAAACTACTATCTGTCAAATCACTTTCTCTCTCTCTCTCTCCTCGCGCTTTCTTCAATTAAGGTAGTTCTATCGTTTTTCACAATTCTTACGAATTTTTAGAAATTTTAATATGTTGTAGACGGAGTTAATATCTATCGATTACGAAATTTTGAAGTCGATTCACCGTTTAGTTTAACAGTTATTTACAATTAAAAATAGCATTTTTTCTATACACCACGTGAAAGGATGGCATTTTCATCACATTTTAATATATAACAATAGAACGGATCTTACGATTTAATAAAAAACCAGTGGGGTATACAATAATGAGTGTGGGATTATTTAAAAAAAAAATATAAATTTTTTCCACCGTTTAGTTTCAAAGATATTACTTTTTAAAGAAATGAATTTTTTTCCAAACGGAACATGGAGAGAAATTGCGATGATAATGTGTATTCATACATGAGCTGTTTCTATGTGAAGAGGTTCAGACTCTACAGACTTAACTAAAATTGTTGCTACGGTAACATTGTATAAACGATGAATTTCCTTATCGATTAGAGGCGAAACTTTTAATTGATATTGTAGCGATAGAACTACCTTAACAAAAATTGTTGAAAATAATAATCGCCCGCGCCTCGTATTATTTTGAATAAAGAACCGACGCGACGTCAGAGTTGACCGCAATCCATTTTCCTCGTCGCCGTTCCCCGGGGAAACTCCATGGAATTAGAGCGAGCCGACCGAGCTTTCTGTATCCCCGAATCAGGATGAATGTATATTGTACATATATATATATATATGAGCGCACGCGCGTACGTCTATCTCTTTCGACCGCGTCGATGTTTAACCCTCGTCTAGCTTTCACTGAATGTACAATTTTAGCAGATATATTTACTTTTACCTATTTATTTATTTATTTGACTTTGTTATGAGGTTTTAGATTGCGAGAGACACATTGGTTTTGTCTCGATTTTTTAACGCGTAGTGACTAAGATTCTTGCTAACTGTTAATATCTTTTTATTTCTTGCTTACTTCTGTCAATTTTACATTGTTCATTAAAACAATGGTGAATGTTGTCGGAGGTATGCAGTGAATTTGATTTACTGTATTAATTTATTTTGCATTTACTTTTGGTATGTAACATTTTTTTTGTTTATGAATTTATAATTAATTGTTGCGATGAAATGTATTGAAATTATTTTTTTATAGATTTACTTGAAAAGGGCTGCAATGACAGCCGAAACGTTGTATTTTAACTAGTTACCTACAATAAATGATTGCCAGTTTGGTCGACTTTTACCATTGAGGAAAGATTTTTATTAATTATTACTGGCGAACCTTAAGAATTTTTATCTGTTTAGCAGATATATTTTGTCGCCGGATATTGTGCGTTTTGTCCAAGCAGAGTTGCAGATCGCGATATGGAGAAACTAATCTAAGGCGTTGGAAAAAATATTGACTGAAAAATCCAGAGATCAAATTAAAAAATTCAACCAACCGTTCTCATTAGATTGCGGTTTCACTCCATTAAGATATGAAACAATCTAAAATTATGCCGCAGGAATTCATTTTTTATGAAAAGCTTTTTTCACCGCTGATGATTCGATAGCATGACACGGGGTCATTAACGGATGTCGTAATAAAATCCCGACATTCCGATGCTCGCGAAGATCGATCGGAGCGTTTGAAAAGCGACACGCGCGAGAGATATAATTACACAAAAAAAAAAAAGAGAAAAAAGAAAAAAATGTGAAAAATGACATAAGACGAACCAACTCTCGTTTCTCGCGTCTCGGTTCTTTCTCCGTCCCTTTATTCCCAAAGGGGTATTGCGGCGCGTCATAAAAAGACCAGAAAAGACAGGAAAAGAAGGCGAAATAACGCCTGCTAACGGCGGTCTGCGTTTGGCAGTGAATTATACTGTCCGCCTTTTGCGCTCTTTCCACATAATCGTACCGAGTCGAAGTGGAAAGAGAGAGAGAGAGTCAGGTGGCCCGTCGACACACCGGAAAATGCGATGGCTGGTTTGGGATGGAGAGTCGGGCGTACCTTGGCGGTATAGTGGTAGCTCGAAAAGGGGAAGGTAAAGGAGGGTAAGAAGGGGGTTGTAGACTCCCGTGGGGTGCTACGGCGCAGACGGAAGAAGGATGGGCGGACGGAAACTGCTGTTTCATCTCCGACTCCGCCAACTTGGCAAGACCGCCGCTCTGTTTGCTTCCTAATTACGAAGGAGAGAGAATAAGACGCAAGACGAGCAAAAGAGGGAGGAAAATGACGAGGGCAAGCGAAGACGCAGAGGGGCCCGAAGTGAATTCAACTCCACTGCTCTCGCGGAATTAAGATTCCATTGTGCAGTCGAGTTTTGTGTGTGCCTTGCAATTTTCTGGTTAACCGGACCGACTCTCTCTCTCTCTCAGTCGCGTATATATATATGGGCCTCGCGCGTCGCTCTGACGAAGATCGATGGGGCGCGCGACCGACGCCCTCTTCGATTTATCGCCCGCGACACGCGCTGGTTTTCCACGATAATTCGTTGCGGGCGCGGGATGTGTTCGGCCGCGCGGATATAGCGTCGTTGATCTTGCGAGACAAAAGCGCAGCGCCGATGTTATTCATACAAGTCGCGGCTCGATTTATGCGCCACGCCGGCGAGAAGAATTAATTGCATCGCCGAATGTGAAAAGCGAAGCGTTTCAATTCGACGCTACGTCGAATATCGCCGCGACGCGGCTTTTCATCGCTTTTTTTCCCGCGTGATCCATCGCTGAAGATCATAATGCGAATATCCGTAGGCAAGAGGGAGCATTTCACCCCCTTTGGGGTTGATAAAAAAAAAATTGTGCTTATCTCGTTCTCCTGAATAAACACTGGAATTTATTTAATTTGGAAAATTAGGAAAGAATAAAATTAATATAAAAATAAGGACAAAATTTAATTTTGCCGCTCGTGGCAAAAATCGAGCATTTATTCTCCTTTTGATTATGAAACACTGGAATTCATTTGCGCATATTTAATATGAAGAAAATAGGAAATAAAAATATTTTAATATTACGCTTCCTGAATTATTCCCCCTGGATAATAATAATTATATCTAGTGAAATCTTGTAATATTCTCGACTATCACGGTTTCTTCGGAAATAATAATAATTTGATAGCACTATGCTACAAGCACATGTTTTCCTGCAAATGCGGCACTACTGAGTCGTCTTGCACCTTGGCGCGAACAACGGCGACAAAGCGTAGAGACAAACTTTCGGCCGAGTCCCGTTAGTTATTAAATATGGCCGTTAAGTGCTAGCTCTGGCGGTGCAAACTGTTGACCGTTGAAACGTTAGTTTCAAGATTACGGGACAATTTAGCGCGCGGCATGGCAATGTAATTTCGCACGCATCCGACCGTGACTCGTTCCCGGAAATGCTCTTTATAGTTACGTAGAAAGATAGAAAGGGATGGAAGCGAGAAGAGGGAAAATGTACCGTCTCATTAACGCGTATACTATTAGGCCGCCCCTTTTGTTTCTATCGTTCGCGATCGCTTTTCCAGATCGAGAAACTTTCCGAGTAAGCTGATCGTTAGCGGACAATTAAATTGCAACGAGCCAATGGCTGCTATTTGAACTCTTCCTACTGTCTGAAACCTCGCCTCGTTCCGGTCCGACCACCAGCGGTGGCTTATCTACTTGCGCGTCTGCACATGTCTTGGCTTATCTACTAGAAATGTTGCGAAGTAATCTCGTAACGTGAGT